CACGGTGGTGCTATTTCCTGCATCTCTGCAACAGTTGCTCAGCATTTGTTGTTACCCGCAGAGATTTTTTTTTTTTTTTTTTTCCTCCTGGAAATGCAGGGATGAATTGATAATTGTTGCATTCCATTGGTTTTCTGTTTTGTGATTGTGTGCAACCCCTAATTTAGTGGAATAAATGAGAACCGATGAAGGTAGAGACTACTATGCAGAACAAATATATAGACTTTGAAAAGCCTCTAAGGAGGGGTGGTTTGTTCAGATTCCTCAGCAGACTTGTATGGCATTGAGAAGTCTTTGGTGTTTGCTTTCCAAAGGCAGGGTTTCCTTTGTGTTAGCTGAGTGGAATTTTGACTGCGTATTTATAAACTTCCTTCTAGACTGTTAAAATATTTGGTTAGAGCATCAACCACAATCAAGTTGCCTGTGTATCACCGCTGTCTTATAAATGTTTACCTGCTTTAAACCATGTACATTTCCTCATAGACCTGTCGGTGAATATGAAATTTGGACATGTAACCAAAAGGTTCTTTGTGGTTCACAATGTTTTAATCTCTGCTTCCTGATATTTTTTTTCCTAGTCTTGGGCCTTCTTTAAAAGTGATCTAATTACAAATGTTGCATTGTCTAGAAGCATCAGCTAGGTGGGACTTTGCTGTGATGGTGTTTGTAAGGACGACTTGTTTTCTCACTGTTTGCATCTTTCAGATGTGTGTTCTGGGTATTTTCTGTGCATCAAGGCAATTTTCTTAGTAAATAATACTTTAATATCTTAGGTAATAAACTCTTTTTGGGACTAGATGCACTTTAGTGTTCCGTGGATGCTGACTTTTTGTACAAATAATAAGCTCTATTGGCTTAGACTAATTGATAGTTATTATACTATGCTTTTTGTTTATTTTCTGTCTATTGGCTGCAGTTGTGAGGCAAGATGCTTTTGTGAAAGATGTTGTTTGCAACCTGCTCTGACAGGTTGCAGTTCAAGATGACAAACTTAAAGCACTCTTCTTGGTCTTGACAGCAGTCCAAATTCAGTTATGTTGTTCATCACGAGAGTTACTTGGTGTCTTCATCATCTGTTGAAATAACTTGTTTCTCTAAAAGTAACTCAAAGTAGACAAAATTAGCTATATCTTTGTGTGGGAGACAACTGAAAGTCCATTGTACTGTTACTGCTATCATGAAACAGATTTCCCTGATTTATGAATGCTTGATGGGTTTGAACCTTGTATTCTATGGATAGTGTAGACTTTTATGATAGAGGAAAAAAAAAGTAGTGTGTTTTCTTGTTGTGAAATGTGTTTACATATGTTTCTTAGGCCTTTGATTCCCCATCCCCCCACCAACATGGGAAATAATTTAAAAGTATTTTAAAGAAGGGATAGTGAAGCTGATGACAGAAATGTTAGTATGTATTGACATAATTTTATTTTGGGTACTTTGTGTCTAACCTGATGCATTTTTGAAAGGAGCATGATAAGACCTACTAGAAAGGCTTTGAAAGGGATGAAATGCCCCTTTATTTCTTTATTTTATCGAAGATCCTGGAGGTCTCTTCTTCTCTTTGACTTACAGAAACAATAGAAGCTTGCTTGATTGAAAGAGATATGTAGCTGTTGGCTTATTTCTAGTGTTTTCTTCAAAATAACTGAAAGCAAATCTGAAATGAAAAGGAGCTCTTGCCAAAGATCTGCAAATGTAAATGCTGTTCAAGACACAAGAAAAGCTTTTCTGCAACCTTCTTGGTGAACTTTAGTTGTTTCTGTCAATCAGAAACACTGTCTAGGCTTGTTGTAGGTAAGTGCTGCATAAATAGGAGAGTACAAACAAATCAGTACGGATTCACACTGATCTCTGATCTGCATTTGAGTATGTTTTGAACACAGACTACTCATTGAATCATGCTCTCTAGTGCTTTTTTTCTATATAAATATTATGCTACTAGCTTATACTTACTAAGCTCATTGCATTTTTTTAACTTTTTATGCTCACTCTTAAGCAAAATATTACATTGTCTAAATCACACATTTCACATGGAAGATAAGAAGTATCTGCTCCACGGGAGTTCAGAGCTTATTCTGAAAAATGAGTTGGTTCTTACTGCCAGACAAGGGCTTGAATTGCTTTGCCTTATTTAAGAAACATCAAATCTCTTTAAGTTGCTATTCTAGAATTAAATTGTTCTAAACTTATGTATTGTGATATAATGTATTTCAATATTCCCTTCCAAGCTTCTAGTCATCTTTCTGATATTAATTTTAAAGTAAGTTTCAAACAGGACTATATTGGAGCTAATAGTTCCTGAATCCAGAATATAGTCATTAGCTAGCTGCACAACAGGATGGCAGTAGGAAGGGCCATTCAACAGTTACCTGAATCCTTCTGAAGTATTTGCTTGCAATACAGGCTTTAGTGTCTGAAGAGATCTGAGCTGTTTTATGTCAAATAGGATGTGAATTGCAAAGGCTTGTTTTTCTGTTCCAATAAAAAATTCATATTGAACAATATTATCAGGGTATCTTTTGCATGGGAAGTAGTGGATGTTCCTTACAGTTAACTTACAGTTGCTAAATGTGCCGTTGAGTGTTAGTTTACCTCCCATTTATGCAAAATTAGCCAAGAGAGTCTCTACTAATGACTAGTGCAAACTGGCAATTGTGGTTTTAGTTCAAGCTATACATTAGTTCTTAGTGTCTCTCACGGCCCTTAACTGTTTTGTTTTGCTTCTTCCAAGACTGTGGTTGGTGCGAGCTGAAGAAGCAAGGCAGAGTCTAGCATTCTCATTAACAATAATACAACAGAATAATAAGATGATGACAAAAATTATATAGGTAAATAGCAAATTATTTCTCTTGTCATTCAGACAATTCTTGTCTCTAGTGGCCTGGAGTGGAAAAGAAGGAGTTTGGTTTTTAACTTTCTTCTAAACTTGGTGGTTAATGGTGAGAGAAAGAATTCATTTTTATGCAGGCATCTTCAGTCTGAAAACTTCTGTCAGAATAGCCTAATATAGTAGCTAGTAGCTACATTATATATATACATACACTATATATAGTAGCTAATATATTTAACAATTTTCCACTGTTCTATGGAGGTTTTTTTCAGTTGATAAAGGAGAATTAGTATGGAAGAACTGTAATACTGAATATTATCACTTACAATGAAGGCGAGGTAACGTATTTAGCACCTGCATGTTCCACACACCTCACAAATGTGAGAAACTCCACAAAAATGTATTAACCAAAATAGATATAAAGGGCAGGAAAGTCTGCAGATTGTAAGAATGTAATGCTTAAAATGATAACTGATATGTAAGCTTCAAGATTTTGCTGAAATTAATGGATTGTATTAATTGGACTTTTCTCATGGCTTTCTTCTTCCCTAGGCACGAGCTTTAACACCTCAGACAGCAGAAACAGATGCAATAAGGTTTTTGGTTGGAACGCAGTCTCTTAGATATGATAATCAGGTAATTTTTCTGTCAAATGTCAGTTGTAATTTTTTTCTTTTTTTTAACATCGTTCCAATATCATTCCTTCTCCTTTCTCCCCCCTGTTGAATTTGAACAATAAGTGATAGTCAAGCTGAAGACTTCTGTGAGTAGAATGCAAAGATGTTGGTAAGAAATGTAGGTGAATGAAAGCTGTGTGTGTTTTCTGAAAATGAAATTACTCTTCTAAATTGTATGACTAAATCAGATTGGTTTTGTAAAGGAACTGCCACATTTTTGTTAACTTAAATCTATAGATTCTCTGGAGCTATCTTTAAACCACAAAAGAGTTGCAAAGTAAAACAGAAGTCTTTAAGCCTTGATTGCCTCTAATGGGACTCCTGGTGCATGCACAGTTCTGTGTGTATGAAGTTTCATAAACTGGATTTTTAATTATTAATTGTTGGTAATAAGCTATGTCCGTTCTGATCATAATTTTAATGACAACTGAAACTAAAATTTGAGTGACTTTTGTGGCTCAATTTCTGTTGGGCTGTTTCTTCTGCAGTTAAGAGTACAGTACTTCTAATTGTACAGCAATTTTATTTATTGTGACTAAATTTCAGTAAATACTTTTATACTGAAAGAAGGTCTTGAGGCTTTGGTAGCAGGGGAGCTGCAGTGGTGGCCCCTGTGAGACATGGCTGGTTCCAGTGAACCTGCCACAGGACACAGCTGACCAGTGAGCATGGTGGCACTTCTGTGAAAACACTTAAGGAAGGGGAGAAAATGTTGAATGAATAGAGGAGGAGGGAACAAAGACTGAGAAACAGCAGAGGAAACAACCGAGGTAAGACCAAGGTCAGGAGGAGCAGATGATGCTCTATGGTGGAGTAGGTATCCACTGCAGCCTGTGGAGCATCTGTGCCAGAGCAGATGGATCTTCCTGAAAGAGATGTGGCCCATGAAGACCCTACGCTGGAGCAGAGGAAAAGAGTGAGATGGAAAGAGCATCAGAGAGAAAACACTATGTACTGACCATAACCACCACTGCCCCACACCCCCCCGTGCCGCGTGAATGGGGTTAGAGGAGTCTGGAGTGAAGTTAAGCCTGAGGAAAAGGGGAGAGAAGGTGCTGGTTTAAAGTTTCTCTTTCTTTCCCACTACCCAAATTAGTAATTACATTTTAATTTTATTAATTAATTTACCCAACTCAAGTCTGTCTTGCGCACAACAGTAATTGGTAAGCGATCTCCCTGTCTTTAGCTTGGCCCATGAGCTTTCTCATTCCTATTCTTTCTATTTTCTATTTTGTTTCTATTTTCTCCCCCTGTCCTGCTTTGGGGGAACAAGTGACTGTGTCGTTAGCCAAGGCTAACACCTACCACAGAAGCCACTAAAATGGATATAGTCACAGACTCCTCTGAAACTGGTCTATAATGGACTGCACAAAATGAAACCATAGCTCTGGGAGATGGGAACTGTCAATTTCCAGTGAGGTTTTGAGTTTGTTCCTCAATAATACTGGATGAGGCTCAAGGAAAAAAATATTCAAAGGCGTAAGGGGGATGGAGTATTCAGTTTTCTTTACGTTTCAGGTAATACTTGTGAGACCAGTAACAAAAGAAGTGGCAGACAGACTTAGTTAAGAATAAATACACACAATTATATTTTTGGATTGTGCTGTCTCAGATGTTCTTCAGACATTTGGTCACAATGTGGTTTTCTGCTGTGACTTCTAAGTGCTTTTTTTATGTCTTGGTTCGACTATTTAAATCCTGATACAAAATTGTAGTTGGAGAACAATTGTCACGACAGTTGATATCCAGCAGATCTTCAATAATTTAAATGTTCTTTTTTAGGTAAGTTGATTGGGCATAGACTACAAATTTTAGAAATATTTACACATATTTCAACTTTATGGAGTATGCTTGTCTGATTAATAACATTAATAATAGAAATGCAGGACACTTCCTGGGGTATTAACAAATGTTTGGGGGTTACTGGCCTTTAGCTGTGCCTCAGGCTGACAGCTCCTTTCAGCTAGTTGCTAATCCCCAAGAAGGGCTCTAGGCCTCTATTCATTATTGCTGAATTCAGTACTGGGTTCTCTAGATTTGATTAAAAACTTCTTTAGTTACCAAACCGAACTTAGGAGCTGGCTTGCAACCTCTGGTGCTTGACAGAGCACTGCACAGTGAGAGGTTTCTTATGCAGTGCCATCACGAGCAGAATGTTTCTTCCCTTCTGGTCATGGACAGGTGTAGTGCAAATACAGCACTAAAAAAGCAGTAGTTGTACCGCTGACATGGTAACTTCTGCCTCGTTGAGTTCTATTGCTGTATGAAGCAATTTAGGCATTCATAGGAGATCTGGTGAAAATATTTTGCTATTAACACTGGTATTTCAAAGTAGAGGAAAACGACAGAATATAAAATCTTGCGAACAATATTTGAGATATTAAAAGTGTGTTGTACTTGGCATTTGGACTCCATAACTTGCTGGAAGTTAGGTAGTTTCTCTTTGATGCACTGTGTTCTGCACAGTGTAGTTTTGGAACTCTTGACCGCAGTACTTTCATTGTTGCTAAACTGTGGGTTTTTTTATACTGTTCTTAGTCTCATACATTTACTGTATGCTTTTGTAGACCTATAAAGGAAGTATATGTCACTTACTCTTTTCTCATCTCTCATTCTCAGAACTCTCCAAGTTCTTTTCAGTCTTGTGTTTTAGAACCTAAAATACTTATTTTCATGGTGTACCTTAATGCACGGCATTATATAGGCATAAAACAGGGCATTGGCCAAACTAAAGCAGTTCTCCAGTCTTCGCTGCCCATGAGTACCCAATGAAAGAAAATAAATAATGGAAATAAAAAATAATTTAAAAAAAAATGCATTATTGAAGAAAAAGAGATATTTTGTGTTGAAATTGGTTAGTTTTATTCTCCCTTCCTTACGACTTTCATTTGCAATTAGTAATTCCTCCCGATTTTGAGGACAACTAAATAGTTATTTGTTCTTATTCAAATCTCACTACTTTTTCCTCAATACTTAGGCTTGTGTTCAGTGGGAACTTTTCTCATTGTAATTAAAGCAGGTTAGTAACTCATTTGTTTAGTTACTGGTCATAAAACTAGTCACTTCTAAGAGGTGTTTTCCACAAGGATTGTGTTCCACAAGAGTTATGATTACATATGTCATTAACTGTTACACTACAGTCATGTTGAGAAAGTTCTCTGTGTGCCCTTAGCTTACTTACACTTATATCCTCCTCTATGGTGTCCATATGCTGCGCTAATTTTCTGTAATACCGTGTAGCTAAGATGTTGCAGTGATTCAATAGTTAATTCAGTAGACTTAATTCAGTCATTATGATAGGATATCTTTGGGTTTTTTTTCTCTTCATTGTTCGCCCAACTTTGCTAATGAGTTTTTAATGAGGATACAGTTCTCTAAAACCTGTGGGTCTTCTAGAATTTACTTGTTGAGCTTAGTGGAATTAGTCCTGTGAGTAAAGTTACTTGTGTATGTTGTGCTGGGCTAGGATCTTTCTCAATTTCTTCCATTTCTGAGGCAACTATAGAAAAAGAGCTAACTAAAAAAAGGGAAAATGAGAGTAACGCAGAATCATAGAATCATTTATAGCTGGAAAAGACCTTTAAGATCATCAAGTCCAACTGTTACCTAACTCTACTGGGTCCACTTCTAAACCATGTCCCTAAGCACCACATCTACCTGTCTTTTAGATACATCCAAGGATACCGATTCAACCACTTCCTTGGGCAACCTGTTCCAGTGTTTGGTAACCCTTTCACTGTAGAAGTTTTGTCCAAATGTCTAACCTAAACCTCCCCTGGTGCAACTTGAAGCCATTTCTTCTTTTCCTATCAGTTGTAACTTGTGAGAAGAGGCCAACTCCCACCTCTCTCTCTCCAACTTCCTCTCAGGTAGCTGTAGAGAGCGATAAGGTCTCCCCTGAGCCTCCTTTTCTTCAGACTAAACAACCCCTGTTCCCTCAGACGCTCCTCATAAGACTTATTCTAAATACCCCTCACCAGCTTCATTGCCCTTCTCTGGGCCCTCTCCAGCACCTCAATGTCCTTCTTATACTGTGGTGCCCAAACCTGAATGTAGTACTCAATGTGCAGCCTCACCAGTGCCGAGTACACTGGGACAGTCACTTCCCTAGTCCTGCTGGCTACACTATGCCGTTGGGCTTGGCCACCTGGGCGTACTGCTGGCTCATGTTCAGCTGGCTGTCAGTCAAGACCCCCAGGCCCTTCTCCACCAGGCAACTTTCCAGCCACTCTTCCCCAAGCATGTAGCATTTCATGGGGTTGTTATGACCGAAGTGCAGGACCTGGCACTTGGCCTCATTGAAGCTCATACCATTGGCCTCAGCCCACCGATCCAGCCTGTCCAGATCAACACTCCCACTTAACTTGGTGTTGCCTGCAAACTTACTGAGGGTAACCTATTTAAAACAAACCTGAAAATAAAAATCAAAATCACAAAAAGCAAACCATGTATTTTAAAAAATATTTAAACATTACTGTTTTTCTTAATCTTTCAGCTCAATATTTATTCTTCCACATAGTGTAAAAAGTATTACAAATTTATAATTGGTACGAATATGTGATTGCTGAAGTGAACTCTCAAAAGTTTCTTACTGAGGCTTACAGTATTTGTTTCAAATAAGAGTCCTTTCCCTCTCTCCCCTTCTTACTTGATAGGATGTTTGAATTTGATGAATTGGATACAGAAGTGCAGACGTTTAGACTAAGGATTGTAATGTCGTTGTTTCTCTTTATTGCTATAAGAAGTGTTGAATTGCAATACGAGTGGCTGACTTACTATTAGCCATAAAATGAAAAATCACCTTCAAGCTTTTAGTTGCAAAATTGAGAAGAATAAACATGGTATTTCCTCAAAACAGGGAAATTGCTGCATGAAATCAATGATGTACTAAATTGTTAGTATAACAATTAATTAAAGTAGGTATCGGTTATAAAATTCTCATTAAATTGTCCTGTGCAGTCTTCGTGTATAATTAAGACCCACAGGAAAACATTTGAAACCCTAATGTTCTCTTTTATTGTATTTGCAGATTCACATCATAGATTTTGATGATGAAAACAACATTATAAACAAAAATGTTCTCCTTCATCAAGTGGGTGAAATTTGGCACATTAGTACCAGTCCTGCGGATAAAGGTGTACTGGCAACCTGCTACAATAAAAGTAAGTCCTTTCTAACCATGTTAAACTTGTTTAAGTGTTCTGATATTTTTGAATGTGCAAAGATTGAACATCTAGTTATGTATAAACACTTTAAATTGGAATTATCAACACAGGCATTTTTTTGAAAAATGTGTTGTACCTTTACCTGTACCTCATTTGTCTCATACCCTTGGGTCATCTTGGTTAGTAGTCTGCTTTTTCATTCATGTCAAGAAAAGCAGCAAAATAAAAGTATTGTTTGCCTGATAAATGCAAAGCATGGCAAATAAAATATATTCCTGTTATTTTAGGCTTCATTCTTTTTACTGTTTGATATGTTTGCTTTTGAAAGTGGAAGTAAATGTCTTTCAAAACAGCATCATGTCAGCATCACGCTCTCCTTAAAATTGCAGCTGAAGTTTGTATACAATGTTATTTGTCATATTTTTAATGCGGATATGACCACAGAGAACTATAAATTCCTACCTAGATTTCTCATCAGAAACAGTAGAAATGCTCCTTGTGTAACCTAATACTCAATGCACAGCCGTTAACATTAAGGATCTCTCTGCGTTTCCTAGGTGAAGCAGGTGTGAAGATTTTCTGTCATGAGGCTTGAAAAATGTACTTGCATCGCTTGGGGAAGGGAGTACTTTTTCTCTCTGACAAGCAAGAAATCTCTGCTGTCAATTGGACTAAATATTATTTCTTGTAGTAAATATTAGTCCATTCTTTCATGGAAATACAATCCAAGAATATAAGAATATGGCAGTGAGTTTCAGACTTCATGCATCTGTGGACAGCTGTAGAGATGTGAATTCCTGCTTCTCAACCTTGTGACTCTGTTAGAGAGAAGGTTCCAGGATTGCTCAGTTCTCCTGCTTCTTTTGGATTGAAATAAAAGTACTAAAATTTGAATTTCTTTCACAATTCTTAAGCGAGTCTTTTAAAGACAATTACAGAAGATAAGTAGTGTAATACAGAGCTTTTCCTGTTTTCTAAACTGAAAATGGTTGTGGGTATTTTGACTAAGAGAGAGGCCTGAAATGGTATTGGCCTGGTTTTTGATTACTTTTTAGCCCCCGGTTGACTTCCTGGACACAAATGTCTCACCTTGCCAGTGATCCATGGAGAAAATGAGAAAGCAGTAATGAGGCCTGAAATTCTAAAGTTGTCGTAGTAATTTTCTGACTAGTTTCAGAGGAGAATCTGAGAAAGTTGGCTGAAGTCTTTTTTAAAGAACACCAGAACTAGTTTCTAAGTTTCCTTCTCTAGCCTTTCTGAGGTGACTGCATTTTTTTTTCTTAAAGAATATTGTGCTGCATGGAATAGTGTGAAACACTTTAAAGAATTTGCTTCTTTTTCCCTAAATAATTGGACAGCAAGGTGATAGGAGATGGCTTATCAAGTCCAGTATTTAATGTATGTGATGTATCATGTAATGCTAACCAGTCTTTATTTATTCAATTTGTATCTAACTTTGAGCTTAAGTATTGTTCTAGAAAGTATGGTGAAAACAAATAATTTTATACTCTTTTCTCAAAAAGGCCTATATTTAAATTTTATGTTCCTTATAGCAACATGCGTATTAATTGAAACTCCTCTTTGTGGGAGACCTTACTGAGGTTACTAGAATTGAGCTTCTATCCAAACACTCTAAATTTCTATGAGAATTCTGATTTCCATTATTAGACCTATTAATTCATACTCATGTTTTCTTTTCTAGCTTCTTTGTGTTCTAGATTTAGTTGACTTTACCGAGTTTCTGAACATTAAGCTTTATTGTTTGTACTTCATGTATCTTCATTTAGAAACATTAGCCGTAAACTTTCGGCAGAAAACAAGATCTGATTCTTAAATGATTATTGATGACTCTAAATAGCAATGTATAGAACAGAAAGCACACAGCATGGAGTTCTAATAATAAGGAATATTGAGTTTAGCAGACAACTTGTTTCAAGTAGTAATGCAACCAAATTAAGCAATCAAAACCTTTAAAACTCTTTTATGTATTGCATTTCTTTAGTTATTTTAAAAAGACTCTAACCATTTTCCTCATTGAAGTACCAGTCAAATGAAATGATGGCTGTCAGGAAGTTGTAGGTATTGTGACCATCTCATGTGTCTGAGCCCAGTACTTCTGTCAAATCTTATCTGTTGTCGAAACTGGGAGATTGAAGAAATATGATGTGTATCCGTTATTATAGCTTTTTTTTAAGTTGCTTATGTAAGTGGTGAAACATGGTATTGAAGAAATGTGGAATCACGTACGTTTTGCATTTCATAGCTCATTGAAGTAAGCTAGTGGAATAGGGTGAAGCACTCACGAAAAAGCTTGGAAGTTTCTTCTTTTTCTATTGAGAGAGATAGCGAATTGTCTTTTACTTTCTCACACTTGTAGGTTGTTAGCATAACCAAGGTATGAATAAGGTCTTATATTACTAAAGGAAAAAAAATGTAGTAGGTGCAAACAAAAGAGCACTTTTTTCACAGCTCTCTTCCTCTTTGGTTTTTGTCTAAGAGGAGAAGCATGCCTTTCATATAGGAAGTTGGGGAATGTAGTAATGGTTGAACTGAAAGAGTGATACTGTGTACCTACTTTGAAGAGAGATTTTGAGTCCTGATTAACTTTTAAAAAGCATTTTGTAGCTAGTGATACAGAAAAATAATGATTCCTGAATAATTTGTTTGTTTTAGTGTTTGTAATCTGGATTTGCTGTTCCTCATGCCACAGATTAATTCTTTTTCTAGAACTGACTTATATAAGACACAAGATTTCTTTTTAAACATACTCTACAGATTTTAGCTACCCTTCCTTTTTTTTTATCATACTGTATTTTAAAATGCAGTGAAAAATCTTTCTGCAGTATCCAGTTGTTATCATCCCCTGTAATGTGAGACATTCAAACTCTTTTTTACTTAATTAACTACTTGACACTTAATACTGCTGCCTCAAAATTCAAAGACCACACTAGCCGTCTTGATGTATGTTTTGAAATAGAAGGGATCTGATGTTATTTGCTTCTCTTTTCTCTTGTAGGGCTAAAAGTTAGCGAAATAATGTAGTACACAAAGCTCTTTGTTAATTTTTACTGACTGCTAAGAATTGCATGAGGGAAAACCATAGTCGTATTCAGCTGGTAACAGTAGGTTATTTTTGGGGTCAAGAATCAAATGGGAAGTTGTAAGCCCTCTGTGTGTGTTTGAGAAGGATGCTGACATAATTATGTTTTTTTACTGTTCTGGTTGAGAGGCCTTGAATTGATGTAATGGGTCTCTTAAAAGTTGAAAGATCCTCTTGGATGGGGAAGTTCCTATGTTTATTTTTTTATCCTCCCCCCCTTCCAAGAAGGCATTTTAGCTACTTCTGTACATGATGGTATGGGATTTTGCATATCTGAAGCTTTTTTCACGTGTATGGATATGTATATAGGTAAGGTTTTTTTGCCCTGATGTATATACAGCATCTGTTTCCAAAGTCATAGTTATGAGGCGTTTTTTTATCCTGAATCATAAAGGTAGGAAGCCTCCTTCACAAGGAGTAATACTAATGTAGAAGCAGCCTGCCCCTGTCGCTCTCTGGGGATTTACAAATTATTTTCCTGCTTTATGGATGTGTAAAATCTCGTCATTGACATGTATAAGTGAAAGAAATATAAAGAGGTAGAACTTCAAATGTATGTTATTGTTGTTATCATTGATACACCTACTGAAGAGCAAAGTCATGTGCTTACAGGTCATAATGGCAAGGCTTCCATGTCAGTGAAAACTATTCCTTGTTGTCCACTTGATTTTTTTTTTTTTTTTTTTTTAAAGTGCTGACTTCTGATAAATTCAGAAATGGCTAAACTTGCAAGTGGCCACAATCTAGTCATTTTGAAATGAGCTTTTATTTTTGAGAAACTCTAGATAATATCTGTCGAAAGCTCCTGTCGTGGTTTAACCCCAGCCAGCAACTAGGACCACACAGCTGCTCACCCACCCTCCCGGTTTGGATAGGAGAGAGCATTGGAAAAGAAGAACACCTCACAGATTGAGATCAAGACAGTTTAATAAGTAAAACAAAAGTCACGCATGCAAAAAAAAAAAAAAGCAAATCAAGGAATTGATTCACTACTTCCCATTGGCAGGCAGGTGTTCGGCCATCTCCAGGAAAGCAGGGCTCCATCATGCGTAATGGTGACTTAGGAAGACATGCCATGACTCCAAACGACACTTCCCCCCCCGCCCCCCTTCCTTCTTCTCCCAGCCTTATATACTGAGCATGACATCACATGGTACAGAATAGCCCTTTGGTCAGTTGAGAGGGGAGACAGCCAGGAGACCTGACCTCAACTTCTTGTGCCCTTCAGCCTGCTCGCTGGCGGGGTGGTGTGAGGAGCAGAAAAGGCCTTGTGCGGTTAGCAGCAACCCAAAAACACCGGTGTCCTATTGACACGGTTTCACATCCCAAATCCAAGACATAGCGCGACACCAGCTGCTAGCAAGAAAGTTAACTCTATCCCAGCTGAAATGTGACAGTGCCAAATACATCATATTTCAACAATTGGAAACAGACTCTCCATTCTTGTTTTTGGCAGACAGGTCCAATAAGAGTTACTGCCCAAATAAGGCTTAAAGCCCATTGGAATATTTACTATTTACTGGCATATTGATTCTGCAATCTCTTTAAATTTTTATGCTTTCAAGAAAAGTAACTTCCCTAAAAAGTAATATAAGGTGGTTTAGTTAACTTTCTTTTTCTCTGTGACTTCTTGAGAACTTTAAATGCTTGCTGAATATGCAGTTTGGGAACTATGTTCTATAAACAATGAATAAAGTTAATTTAAATGCTGCTCTGTATTCTTTTCAAGATCTTTTATTAGGGTATCGTTTTATAAGTAGGTTTTAAAAAGGAAAAAAACCCTTCCTCTCTCTCAAGTTAAAACCCAGGAAAACTTTTCTTGTTAGCATCAATATTTACTACTTCGATTTGTAATTTTGATGTTGCATCATTAATAAAGCCTTGTATTTTTTCATTC